GCAACACTATTTATAACCCCCTGAAGGATCTCTGTTCTAATTTCAGTTTGCTGCTTTCTATGAAAATCTAGTCTAGATGTTTCAATTTTGATATATGTACCAACAACAAACTGCTGACATAATCTTAGACTATGAAGCAACATAGAATCATCATTGTCTCTTATTTGCAGCCGATAACAATAGTACTCCCTAGTAGATACAGTATAATCCTGATCGTTTTTCTGTCAAGCAGTTAAAAAGGGAAAAAGAAAGGTATATTATGAGCGAATATATAGAATATTACAACAGAAATAATATATAAATATAAGAAAGAGACATGCCTATATCTTCAATGCTAAATAAGTCTGAAGGATTCTAGGCAGAAAAGAAATCAACATGAACATCCGGGTCATAAGTATCTGGTTTTTTCCTTTTTGAGTATACCCTCTTGATCCCACGATACCAACCAGATTCACCTCTAGGGAACAAAAGAGGATATTGAAGCGGATCGTAACATGCATAATATGATTGGACCCTATAACTTGCGTTTGAATTGCTATAAACCTAAATATGGGGGCTCTTCTCAACTAACTCATCATTTGTCTCGGTCCATATAGCGGCTACTTGAGAGGCAGTAGGAAGATTAAATACACGTTGATCTAGACCAGAATAACACTTAAGAACTATAGTATGGCTTTCAAGAGTTGGAACATCCCTAAGATCTTTAAAAAATCTGGTATAAGAATTTTCTTGCAGGATTATCATCAGCAGCTTGAGAGTGGTCGGCTAAAGCCTATCAGAATTCTGAACTCTGTTTGCGAGCTCCCGGTGATTTATCAGATGGAGAGATTAGACCATCTAAGAAGTGATACACTTGGCCTTGGACCCAAAACGTATAAATCCCTTCTATTTTTTTTTTGTCAATTCATGATCATATCTAGCACCATAAGAAGTGAATGCTACATTATTATTATATGTTCGGGAGTTCTTCCTAAAGTGCTCACATTCCTCATCATTACCAATGAATAGGCATTTAAGAGCATAAGGCATAGCAGGAGCAACACTAGAGATTTCACCCTCAGAGCAACAAAAAGAAAGAGGTTCTGAAGGGAAGTATTTAGCACCACAATGTTCACAATTTGGAGAAACAGGAAGAATAATAGAATGAGCTGGAATACTTTCTAGATGAGCTAATCCGGAAGTCAGATGTTGAAGATTGCTTCTTGGAAAGATCTGAACATTACGACTGAAGTATACAGATATGGCTAATGGGCATGATTATAAATAGGAGTAGGCAGGTGGTTTCTTTGAAACACTGAACAGCTACGATCTTTTCTAAAAACTGACAAGCTTGAATTCAACATGATACAGAATAAAACACAATGGACACCAGTACAAATACCAAATCCATTATTACGACAGCTGAGAATATAAAAGGTTTCTGCTGAAAGTGAATAGCAGAAAAATTGTCAAAGGACATAAAGAAAACAGTCAAACTGGGCATCACTAAGAAACCCGAATGAAATAGCTGGTACGGAGTACAAATAGGGGGCTGGTATGGAGTAGAAATACACAAGCATTTGTATTCCATACAAGAAAAGTCTGATAGTCCAAAACAGGAGGCAAAAGAAATGAGTTCTTAATAGGCCACTAACAGAAAGTAAATATAAACAGATGACATAGAAGGAGGCAGGGAAACAGTTGGGGAATATGAAAATGAGGGGTAGGAAAATTATAATTATACCTTGAAAAAGTAGTGCGATGGAACGCAGGTTGATGTAACACAAGAATCTGAAGCAACATATTTTGACTGATTAATCAGCAAATCATTCCTATTATCATTTAAAGAGGTCGAACTCAGCAGGGAACTATCCACATCATCAACCAAAAGAACACCTGTTTGAGTATAACCTAATGGAGTCCTAGAAAAATACTCTCGGCTATTTTGGCTAGGCCTCTGAAACCGAACTACTTCAACAGAAGAAGGCACAGCGGTGCCTCTCCTTTATGCAACGTTGCGTTCTCGCCGGCGATGAAGGAGGTCAGCTTTCTAACTATGTGGCATTTCCGCATACCTTTTACGTGTCGTAGTATTTTTATCCATCCTTGAATAATGTGCATTGGAAAGGTATCAAAATAGAAAGCACGAAAAATTTCTTTGTAAGAAAACACATAGAAGATATTAAAAAGGCGAACAGAAGGGAGCGTAAGAATACACAGTGCAAGTTAAGCGTATAAAAAGGAAGAAAGCATAGCATGTAATCCAACGGCACAACTCAAGCAGTAAAAAGGGGGGAAGGAAATGGAGAAGCAAGCGATAACAATAACAACAAGAATAGAAAAAAAACACACTAGCCTGATGTGAAAGTAAACAGAAGAGAAAATACCTGAAGTAATAAACAGAGAATAACAGAAGAACAAGCTAGAGGAGGCAGCTGAAATAGGTCTACATAAGTAAAACGAATCAAAAGTAAAAAAGATGTCAAGAAAAAACCTTATGATAGAATGAGAAGTAGCTGTACAAAGGCACAAGTAACAATAAATAAATTATGGGAAAGGAAAGCAAGAAAGAGTGTAAGAGCAGCATATAAAAGGCAACTGGAGAAAAAGAGAGAAACAAAAGGGGAAATACAGCCTGGTTTAGCAAAAATTCAAAGGGGAGGGGGTGCCTGTGCAGAAAAAAGGTGAACTATTTCTAACCAAGAGGATTTAATTGGTTGGAGCTATAATGGACAACAGCTGGTGGGAAAAGAAAATGCAAACCAGAAGCCGACGAGCAGAGGGCGGCGCAGAGAAGGAAAGGTGGGGAAACGTGCAAAGGAGATAAAAATAGATCAATAAAAGAGCAGGGGAGGTCACCTGGCGCAACGGAATGGGCAACGATGAGGAACAGCAACAACAGCAAAACAGGAACAAAAGAGCAAATTGCCAATTGTGGTGAGAAGTAACAAGGAGAAACAACATGGTTCATGATGGCAGCCACCTAATCGTCCAGAAGGCAAGAGGAGAGAGCAGGTGGAGAAGACGTGTAAGGGATTGAAAGACATAGGGGGCGCTTGGTTCAAGCTTAGGAATTGGAATTGTAATTGGAATCATAGACTCTGGTTTTGGAATTAAAATTTTTCATTCCAATATCTTGCTTGGTTCACACATTGGAATTAGCATTATTCCAATTCCTGATGCTTGGTTTGATGAGTGTTTCGGAATTATATGCAATTAAATTTCAAATTTACCCCTGATATAACAATTCTTCTAAAACAAAAGAATTACACATACGACAAATTAACATTTTCATAATTGTAACTACAATAGTTATTAACTTTTTGATAAAACATAAGAAAATCATAAATAATAAAAAAATTAATACCATAAAATAAATATAGTGGTTGCATTAACAAGGAGTAAATTCCCAAAAAAAGGAGTTTTTAAACAATCACCCAAAAGGTGACGATTTTGAGTCTCTTCTCAAAGGGTGAAAAATGCATCCAAGGAATGTGTTCTTCCAAATAAAACGCAACTTTCAAATACGTTATTTTATGTTTTGGAAATTTGTTTAAATATGAAAAATTGGTTAAATAGCCCATAAGATACCAGCTCTTTATGAGAAACTGGCAGGTTTTGTACCAGCTTTATGGAAAAAATTGATTAAATAGTGCCCAAAGGAAAACTAGTATGTTTTGTATTTAACATAAATTAAATATGTGAAAGTTAAAAAAAAAAAAATTTGCCCATAAGATACCAGCTCTTTAAGGGAAATTGGCAAGTTTTGTAGTATGTTTTGTACCAACTCTTTATGGAAAACATACCAACTCTTTATGGAAAAAATTGATTAAATAGCGCCTAAAGGAAAACTAGTATATTTTGTATTTAACATAAATTAAATATGTGAAAGTTAAAAAAAAAAAGAAATTACTCATAAAATACCAGCTCTTTATGGGAAATTAGCAGGTTTTGTATTTAATACGCTATTTAACCAATTTTTTATATTTAAACAATTCTACGAAAATTAAAATAACGTATTTGAAAGTTGCATTTTTATTTGGAAGAACGCATTTCTTGAATGTGTTTTTCATCCTTTGGGAAGAGACTCAAAAATTGCCAGCCTTTAGGAAGTTGTTTAAAAACTCTTTCTTTTTGGAAATTTACTCCATTAACAAGTCATTTGTGGTTCCTACATTAGATAATGATATGAAATAGATCTCTCCTTACATATATGAACAAAAGAAGGAGAATCAAATCACAAAAGCTAACCATACCAAATACAAATCAATTGTCTAATCCAGTCGAGAGTGCCACTCAATGTCCACAATCTCCAAAAGACTAATCATATAACCATCTAACAATCACCATAACAAAAAGAAATTGCCATCAAATCATCACTTTCCAGCTAACAATAATTTTACTTCAGCGAGTAGATGGAGGATAAAGGAGGTTAATTACATATTGTCGTTTCATTTCTGCAGGAAGATTGTAGAACACATGAAGCTTGGAAATCTGCTCCGAAAGTATGTCGGCTGCATTCATTACATCTCCACTCGGTAAAGCAAGTTTCATTAACTCAGCAACAACTTGATCTCTTCTATCGGAGACCAATTGCTCATGTTTATCCTCATTTGACATGGCTGCTGCCATAGTTGTGAAATTAGCTTGAATTCCCTCCACGAAATCTCCAAATTTGTTGGTGAGAAGTTGCAATGATACATCAAGATCACCCCTTGTTGTTGATGCAGATTTCATTTTTTTTGACACATTTGCAATGGGAGGGGCTTGTTTCTTTTGTTTCTTGGAATTTCTTGTGCTTGTTGAGCTTGGTTGAGTTGATTGCTCCATGGAATTTACTTCATCTTCTTCTACCTTATCATTATCCGAGTTTGACATAGCATCAAGCCCTTCATCTCCTTCCTCCAAATTTTGGACATCTTCCATTTCTTGGACAGCTTGTGCAAAATCTTCAGCAACATTTCCAGTGGCTCTGTCTCTTCCATATACAATTTCAAGATCTCCTAAATATGGAAATTTGACATCCCAAAGGCCCTTCGCATCCTTATGAGTCTAGAGATAGAATAGAAAGATAAATGATAATCTTAATAAAAGGTTGAAAAAGAACATATCAGAATGTAAAAAGTAATCAATTTCTTACCTTGCACCAATCATCATACCACTGTTTTTCACAAGAAATCTTTTTCTCAGCATCATTCCAACTACAACCACTTTCTTTGCACATTTCAACAATTGCATGGAACCTATTTTTCAGCCACTTAACTTTTGATTCAATATGTGGGCTGACTTGTTTGGTAAAAGTAGGTTGCTTACGCAAGATAATTTTAAGCAATTCGCTCATATAATTATTTTTAAATCCTCCATCTGATTTCCACATTGGATCACAAGCCAACTCTTGCAATGATTCTATGAGCACTTTTACCTCTTCACCAGTCCAAAAACATTTATTTTTCCCTCTTCCACGTACAATTTCATCATTCTCCATCCTATCATTTAGAAGTCAACCCATATATATCAATTAATTTTGATACACAATAGCATATAACTGAAATTTATAATATAACAAAACACATAAAAGAACATACAATTAAAAGTCAATCCAAATTTAAAAGAACATACATCAAGTGTCAATCTAATTCACAAATCCACTACAAGAGTACATCAAATGTCAATCCAAATTTAATGAGTCTAAGAGCTAAACATCCATTCATAGCTAAATACTAAGTCCAGCCCTCCAATTGTCAAACATTTCATGTGCTAAATTATTTCTAAAATTTGCCCATTGATCACTTGGCAAAATAGTGGATATGTACTCTACTTCTTCATCACTGTCTTCATCTTCACTTTCATTTTCTTCACTTTGTAGTAATTCTTGTGGATCAAAAGTCATGAACTTCCTTATCAAGTTGTGCAGCAGACAACATGCCATAATTATTCGCACTTGTGTTTGAATTGGAAAAAATGAAGGGGATGCTAGAATCTTCCACCTTCCTTTTAGCAATCCAAAACATCTTTCTATGATATTTCTAGCTTTAGAATGTTTCATGTTGAAATATTCCTCTGGTCTTTGTGGTCGATAACCATTGAATTCATTAAGGTGATATCTTTGCCCTCGATAAGGGGCAAGAAATCCATCAGCATTACAATATCCAGCATCCACCAAGTAATAACAACCTTCAAAATTCAATCATGTACAAATTAATACTAGACTACCTTATTTTTGAAAAAAAATTGATTGAATGGTATTGAATACTACAATATATGTTTACCTTGTGGGACTCTAAGACCATTTGGTCTAGAGATAGCATTTCGAAGCACACGACCATCATGTGCCGAACCTTCCCAACCAGGCAAGACATAGATAAATTGCATATTAGGAGAACAAACCCCTAATACATTCGTTGCAATACTTCCTTTTCTCGTTCGGTATCTTGATTTTTGTTCGGTGGGTGGTGTCACATCTATTAATGTCCCATCTAAGGCACCTAAACAATTCTATTTTAACACAAATAAAAAATATAAATGAGTTAAAATGTCTATATTGGATAGTTTAGATGAAAACATACATTTTATTAAATGATTGTATTTTAATGTTTGAATTACCTTAAAACATTTCCATCTCTCATCTGTGCAATCTTCGGTAATAGGCTCAGGCTTCTTAAGTAATATAGTATGCAATTTCAAAACTGCTAGGAGGCAAAGATTAAATTGACGACTCACCGTTTCTCTACTTCTCCAAAATAGACCACAAATTGTTCTACTTTTCTTGTGGTGAGCCAAAACATATACAAACATGGCAACAATTTCTTCTATTGACATGTTTCTTGTAGCTTTCAAACCTCCAGTGTCTCTAATCATTTCACATAATATCCCAAATGTTCGTCTATCCATACGAAGTTCGCTAATACAATAAGCATCACTCTCCCTAGTCAAATTGAATAAGTGTTGCATGCGCTCAGTGACTTTTTCTTCTTTTGATTTTATTTGGCGTCTTCTACTTTTGAGATGAATGAATATTAACTGGTACCACATCATAAACAGTGCAATAACAACCATTATCATTCCTGATAAAATCTGGCTTTGCCCTCGATATTTTTTGCGTCTTCTGTTTTCAATAGGCAAACGTGGCATCTTTGTCTACATAACAATATGACAACCAAATGTAAGTATTCACCAAACTAGATTACGGCATCAAAATCTTCAAATGCATTAAACATCAATTGATCTTATTAAAAGGGCCTAGACATGCATCATACATCCGTAAACACAATGATGTATAGATATAAATAAGCATAAACAAACGAAATTGATGGTTGAAACTTGAAATCCTAATGTACGAATAACTATGAAACTGAAAGCTATTCAAGCAGACAATTTTACAAACAGGTACAGGGCATGTAGAAACCCATCCAAACTATACCAGTATTCACGGATCAAATAACCAAAAGATCAAGAATTGATTGACCTCCATTGAATGCGTAAACCAAGAAAACACATTAAAAACATAAAAATGACAAATCTAGTGATATTAACATTTATCTCACCAAAAAAAAGAACAAAATAATGTATTTGTTGAAGTAAGTGAATTAAAATACATGGATTAAAAACATGTATTATTCTCACCAATAATAGTGTATTTGTTGCGGAAATAATTTCTTATTAGATTTTGTGACAAAAGAATATGAATTCATGGAAGGAAGACTTTTTTGCAAAACTGACAGATTGTGTAGCGTGAGTGGAATAAAAGTGAGAAGGTGATGGGTCCAGAGCATAGCATTTTGGTCCAGTTAGTGTTATTGTATCAGATTCCCTTCTTTTTTTCTTTATTTTCAGCTACCCAATGAGTAGCCTGAAAAAACAGAGAAGAAGAAAGAGAAAATCTTGCATACGAAAAGAAAATTGCAGAGGCAGGGGAGTTTGTAATCCACTGACCTGGGATCAAGAAATTCACCCTAGTAGAAGACTCTTCAACTCTAGAATTCGTTGTCCAAGGAGAGTCGAAAGCCACTGATCTTTATGGTTGTCCAACCGGTGAAGTAGAAGAGGTAGAAAATTTAATGAAGAAGAAGAACAGAAGGTGCGGCGTGTAATGAAGAAAAAAAGAGGGTAGGTTCGTCATAAATATTTTTGCTCGGGAATGAGTTGAGGGTTTTGTCCAAAACCTCCCAATTTACTCAGGAATGGTGAAAGTCCGATTTTTTAGAAATGATTCCAGAAATTGCATTCCAATAGACTTAACCCAAGCAACAAATAAGGGGTTCATTCCATTATTTGATTCCCAAACCTTTTAACCAAGCATAGAAAAAAAACACACTAGCCTGATGTGAAAGTAAACAGAAGAGAAAATACCTGAAGTAATAAACAGAGAATAACAGAAGAACAAGCTAGAGGAGGCAGCTGAAATAGGTCTACGTAAGTAAAACGAATCAAAAGTAAAAAAGATGTCAAGAAAAAACCTTATGATAGAATGAGAAGTAGCTGTACAAAGGCACAAGTAACAATAAATAAATTATGGGAAAGGAAAGCAAGAAAGAGTGTAAGAGCAGCATATAAAAGGCAACTGGAGAAAAAGAGAGAAACAAAAGGGGAAATACAGCCTGGTTTAGCAAAAATTCAAAGGGGAGGGGGTGCCTGTGCAGAAAAAAGGTGAACTATTTCTAACCAAGAGGATTTAATTGGTTGGAGCTATAATGGACAACAGCTGGTGGGAAAAGAAAATGCAAACCAGAAGCCGACGAGCAGAGGGCGGCGCAGAGAAGGAAAGGTGGGGAAACGTGCAAAGGAGATAAAAATAGATCAATAAAAGAGCAGGGGAGGTCACCTGGCGCAACGGAATGGGCAACGATGAGGAACAGCAACAACAGCAAAACAGGAACAAAAGAGCAAATTGCCAATTGTGGTGAGAAGTAACGAGGAGAAACAACATGGTTCATGATGGCAGCCACCTAATCGTCCAGAAGGCAAGAGGAGAGAGCAGGTGGAGAAGACGTGTAAGGGATTGAAAGACATAGTAATTTCTGAGCAGAAGTAGCTGCAAGGTGTGGAGAAAGAGGGGAAAAGAAGCGTGGAAAAAGCAAAACAGTATCAAAAAGAATTTGAAGAAAAGACGGAGGAAGAAGAGGTGAGAGGAAAAATGAGGTGTGGGGAAGATAAATTTTGGAGTGGATAGAACATCAATTTGTGGCGGAGGAAGGAAGGAAAAGAAGGTAGAGAGGAGCCAATAAAGAGGAGCATCAATTTGTGGCAGGATGGAGCTGGTAGAGAGGAGCTTGATGAACGGGCAGAGAGGGTGTGACGACCTCAACCAAACGGCTGCAAAAAACCACAATACAGAAACAGTATCAAGGAAAGACGGGGTTTCCAAGTAGGAAGACCTGCAAGGGCGGAAAGGAAACAGTAATGTGTGAGCGGGAGTAGCTTCAAGATGTGGAGGAAGCTAAAAATGAGAGAGGTCGTTGACGACCTCAACCAACCGCCTACAGAAAACCACAGCAGAGCTAAACAGTGCCAAGGAAAGAGACAGAAGCAAGACCATGGCCGAAGGAAGGATCAGGTGCAATGAGCACACTTGGCAACCAATCAATTCGCGCCACGTCACCATCAAGCCTATCCCATCTCGCCACGCGGAGGACGACCACATCCGACGTGGATCCCGGGCATTTATCCTTAGTCTATATGGTTAATGAATACCCTTTGAAGGTTATAATGAAGCTAGTGTTATTTGTGAGGGCAATAATATCCACACACCCCTAATTGATGTGTCTATTCCCCTTTACTACCTTTTATCTGTACTATATTGGTTCAAATCATCATTTTAACTAGTTGATCATCAAAACAAAGGATTGACGGACAAAGATCTTCATTTGTGGCACGCATTTTTTCTTAGTATTGGGATGGCAAACCATTTTTTCTAATTGGCAATGTTGTGTTGTTTGAGGAGTAGAATAACTCAGTACTCTTGTGGTTCTTTGGGCGTTGGGGTGGTTGTATGGGATGACAATGGTTCATTTGTAGCTAGTCTTGCCAAACGTACTTTGGGAATCTGGAGAGTAGACTAGGAAATGATTTCCTGCCTCCTCATTCGAGAAAAAAAATTAAAATAATAAAAACAAGTGTTTATTGTGTATTAATTTTGGCTAAATTATTACATGTTGGAATCGGGGGATTAGACTAGGAATTGATTCCCCATATAATGGGATGAAAATTTACCAAAGTATGATTGATGTCATGAGGAAAATTATTTTGGACTGAAATGGAATCATTTAATTCATGACCGTCAATTCTCCTAATTTTTCTGTTAACAAACGCCAGAGTAGCTCGGACTTGAGAACTACAACAAGTGGGTTCAATTTTCAATAGGTATATGCTTGTATTTCAACTTTTAGAAATTGAGAGCCTTAATCTCATATGACCTCTATGGCAGATCTTCCCCAATGTTTCACCGGAACCTCAATTTGAAGTGTAAATCAAACTCTGCTTGAACTACAAGAAAATGATTCATTGCCAACATGCAACGGTGCTCACCCATCATCACCAATCACAAAAGATTGCCTCTTTGATTTTTAAGATTTGAGAAAGGCCTTCAAATACTTGAGTTGTAGTTTACAAGAGTTGCGCAAGATCTATAACAAAAAAAAAATTGTCAATTAGGTAGGCTAAATCCTCAAAATATTGTCAATTTCTAAAAAAATCAAACAAATGTGAGTCATCAAACTATGCCCATCACACCATGGGCTCCAGATTTTCACAAAAAAAAGCTACATGGCGTGATGGCCCCACAAAATTTTTTTTAAGAACTTGTCAAGCCATCGCGCCACCATGGCACGACGACTGACAGGATTTTTCATGCTTGTCTGTCCCGTCGTGTACGCATCTTTTTTTGTTTTTCTTGAGAAAATTGTGTATAGAAATTTATAAAATAAGAATTAGGGTCGGTAAAACCATTTACCAAGTGTAGAAATGTTTAGGGTTTACACATTATAAATATTTGTACGATTTACAAATTAGTAAAGTGACGGTTTGTTAATAGTAACTTTGTTCATATAGTCTTCTATCACTTAGTTGTATCAAATTAGGGTTTATGGTTTAGGGTTTACAATTTACAAATTAGGGTTTGGGATATACAAAACCAACTATAATTGTATAGAAGTAGAAAAATTACTACTTGAATTTCAATTTTTTATATTTAGAAATTTATATAAAATGCAATTGTGTTAAAAAATTACTAGTATCTTCGTAGAGATAAAGAATGTTAGTATAAAACGCACAGAGAGTAAATGTGCTCTTATAGGTCATTATTTGATATACGATACTCATATTTAATGATTAAAAAAATTAAATTGATCATAGAGTTACTTATGCCTTTTTATCTATTAAATTAATGTACCCTTCTCTGGTATTGTAAGGTTTCATAAAATACCGTGTACTTTTCAATCTTGAAAATATTTAATGTTGTTCAATCATAAAGCGGTTGGATTAAACACAAAAATCAATGTCAAGATGGATGAAGTTTAAAACATTGTTGAAAAAAGAACAATATCAATGCTTCGTTTGTTGTTTGCCTTTATCTTTGTCCTTAACCTATTCACGACGGGTTGTGGTGGGATAACAATAGCTTTGCCCTTAACCTGTTAAAATGATTTTACCGACCCTAATTCTTATTTCATGAATTTCTATACACAATGTTTCTTAAGAAAAAAAAAAGGAAAATTTTGTCAGTCATCGCGCTACGATGGCACAAAGGCTTGAAAGGTTCTTTAAAAAAAAATTTGTGGGCCCATCGCATTAAGCTTTAAAAAAAAAAAAATCTAGAGCCCGTCTCACCGACGGGCATAGTTTGGTGCTATGCTTTTGCAGACCCGCATTTGGTTGATTTTTTTTTAGCAATTGACAATATTTTGAGGATTTAGCCCTACGAATTAAAGAACTTGGTTCAAGGTTTCATAGTCGTGGATTTGGTCTTTTCGATAGTGATATTGTTGGGATATCAAGTATGAATCAATATCCCTCATCGGAAAGAGATGAGTAGAATGAGGAACATATAAGTGGGAATGATCCATAGACCCAATGCTTTAAGGTTTTGGGTTGGATGTGGTGGTTGGATGTGGTGTCAAACCCATGGTTGTGGTTCCCATTCTAGCT